AAGTCGTGAGCAACACCACGTCCGAAGCAGGAGCATCGGCTAGAGTGGACAAACCCTGGTCGAGGCTGAAGCCCTGTGTCAGCAATTCGCCAACAGCTCCGGGCGATACCAATCGCAGCGAGAAGTCCATCATCTATTCTCCCAGAAGTCGACGCTTGTCGATGTACTCTCCTCGTTCGTCTCCAGCGCTTTACTCATATGGAATTGCGTCCGGCGCCACAACACAACAGTGTTACGTATCTACAATCAGCGGGCAAAGCCCTTGATCGGTTGATAATACTGATACGTACGGTGCGCAGATCCTGCCCGTCGACCGTCCCCACATCTCTCCCGTTCCTCCCACGGCCAATCTAGGATTACCAACTATCGTTGGCCAAGACCAGGCTATGGCAGGTGCATGGTTGTGCCCCCTCGAAGCGGCCTCCACCTCAGCGCCCACACGCTCCATCACCCCACCGCCTCCGCCACACCCAACAGCAAGCTCTGGCTAAGCATAGTTGAGGACGTTTTCATTAAGAGTAAATTCCAAAGAAATTCAATTAATTAATAAATATCCATTTGTTTCCTTTTTTTTTGTTATTTTTAATTCTCTTCCTCAATTTTAATTTGGTTGCTGGAATTAATAAAAAAATAAATAAATAAAAATGAGGGTCATTCCCTCGTCAGTTGCTCAGTGTGAAAAGGACCGTGCCGAGGCCTACTACCACATCTCCGTACCGCGGCCGGCCGCCTCCGGAACAGCCTCAGAACAGACGAAAACGATAGGTGCTAGGCGCGGCAGGCGTGACCGTTCCTTTCGCTAATTTCAAGGGTCGGTTTTAATATTTGACATGGAGAATTTTAGGGGTCCCTTTCCGACCCCTAATTTTTCCCGACGGTTCCGATGAAAGTCCCGGTCAATCCCTCTCAAATGAGTTAATCTAAGGGTTAATCCGTCGGATTCCGGGTGGCCGACTGGCCTTCGGCCGCCCGACACCGGTACTTACCTGTGGCCGTGACATTCAGGGATTGCAGCGGGGGGAAACACTCAAGTAGCAGGTACGATGGTACCGCATCCTGAAGAGGTAGATGCGCGGGTACTGGAGGCCGAGCAGAAGAAGACAAAAGTGGCATTTTTGAAGAGGCCCTGTAGTTGTAGGCTAGGTCTAGGCGGGTACCAGTCCAACCAGTCTGAGTCTAAGGCCTGTACGGGCAATATCAAAGTCTGCAATGATGTTTCCCTCCGAAAGGGAGGAGGTACGGGTTGCTTGGGAAGGCCGAGCGGCCTGGAAGTCACCGCCCAAGAGGCAAGCAAGCCGCTATATCTTCAGGCCGGGCGAAGAGCCCAGCCTCATTGTCGGTGTGCAAGTTTGGCGACACACTGGTTGGAGCGCTGGCTGGAGCAGCGCTTGCTTGGAGCAGCGCTGCTGGGGAAGAAGCAACGACTCGGAGGAGGAAGAAGGATAGGAAGGGGGAGGAGCGCCAAAGGTATTTACCTGGCTATAATGCCAGCCATCTTCATCACCTTGGTGGGCGCTGCAGCAGGAAGGCCCCAGCTGGGGTTGAGCTAAACCAAGAAGCTTCAAGGCAGAGTCAGGCATGGCGGTCTGAGCTAGGGCAGCCATAGCTGCTTTGGGTTGTCCTTTGGACATTTGGGCGAAGCCTAGTAGTCCGCCATAGCCTCGGCCTATGAGAGTGAAGAGCGGGAGAGGCGGCCATGGCTATGGTGGACCTCAAGTGATACCTGCAGTAGAAGAGGGATTCGGACTTTGATTCTGGTTCAGCTATTCAACATTGTATTATTATTCCTTGTGTGAATAAGAGAGGAGGAGATAAGGAGGAAGGGAGAGTTGGGCGAAGAAGAAGAGCTTTATCATTTGTCTATGCTGGTGTACATCATCTTCTTCTTCTTCTAACCTTCTCTCTCCTCTCAAGTTTATTTATTTCTTTCTGCAATTGGACAGCAGTTCATTCATTTGTTTCTGCAATTGGACAGCATTGTACTATCTGATGAATGTGTACCTCGAAATTGGCCAGGATCATAACATTGGTATCAGAGCGAACTGTACTTGCTGGTGAGAGTTGACTTTGCTGCCCTAACCCTAACCTAAGTGGTTGAGGGCAACACTTAGGGTTAGGGTTTGATGTAAGGGATGTGGGGCAGCGTGGCTAAGGGAAGCTGCCCCCACCTGGTTAGGTCATGTGGCGTCGACATTGAACCTAACCAGGTTGCTTGAGAGTGAGATTAGGGTGGCGAGACATTTCGTGGAGACTTCATGCGGCAATTTGAGAGAGGCGACAGTGAGAGGCACTCGCACCTGAAATCTGATTCAAGGGAGACACTTGGCAACTTAAGGGCTGCCCTCAATAAGGCAAACTTGAGGGTCAGCGGCCATTCAGCATCTACACACTGCAAGTTGCTACTTTGTCCTTCAGCATCGGCGGGGGACCCGGCGTTGCACTTTGGTGTTGGAGTCAGACCCTCCTAGGAAATAGGACACTAGTGTAGGGGTAGTGTTGAAGGGGACAAGAGGATCACATGAGAGGGGGGTGAGTTCTATTCATCGCGAAGCTCAGGCCACACAGGTAAGTGCCATGCACCTACGGGATGCCCATGTATGTGTGCATGGTATCGATTGTCCTACAGGGGTTATTCTGGGTTTCTTTCCTACTCCTCTATGGTCTTGATAGTGTGATTGAATGTGTGTGATCTACCTACTCACCTGATGGATGGAGAAACAAAGTATCTTGATTTGAATGCCGATTCCTTCTACAGTGCGTTGTCTTTTCATCTCCGAATGGTTGTGGTCTATAGGTTCTGCCGGAAGTTTATATTCGTTTTCAAGATGGAAGAGGCAGAAACTTAGTCCAAGTGGGACTCCTCTTGGATGAGAATCTCCAAAAATTTTGGAGGCTTGCGGCAACCGAAACAGAATGGCTGGCAGCACCATCAAAAGGAAAACAAAAACACCACGCTGGCATTTCAGCAAAGCTTGGCACGCAGGGGGAATCCGCCTCGTACAAAAGAGGCTCGGATGTAGTGGTGGTTTAAGGGGAAGGGATATAGCAATTACCATCACAAGTCCCAATATGAGAACGCTGTGCTTCTATCAAAAGATTTTGCAGTTTGAACTCTTGTGGCTGATATCTCTGTGCATGAGTGCTTTTGGCTTGTCTGTGCATGAATGTATGAGTCAGTTGCATATGTCTGAGCACTACTGTGCCGATATTGTTGTGCTGTGCCTTAGGAGGGACAGAACTATAAATAGTGGTAGACACAAGGGTAGCACGAGAATTTGGCAGTGGTAACGACATTTATCGGATATTTCCTCAATATTAGGTCCTATCAAGTTCATCACGACCATTTGTAACATGTGTGGCCCACGAATGAGGCAAAAGTAAGACAGACAGCAGCAGATAGGCAAAAGTATAGCGACCCGGTAGGGATTGTCCAGCAAGTTGAGCAGGCCCAGTGTCCAGTAGGATTAAAAGCAGGTATAATGATGGAGTCGAGTGAAATCCAGAGTACCAAGGTCCAGGCACGTAAGGGCTGGGGGCAATTACAGTCTGCAATGATGTGCCCTCCAAAGGGAAGGCCATCAGGTCTAGAAGCAAACCGAGCTGGGCCTGGAACAGCCGGGCCCAGAGTGAACGTCTAGAGAAGAAGAAGACCCATACAGCTAAACAGTGGAAGGAGGAGTGAGCAGCAGAAAAGGTGGCTATTGTGGAGGATATCTGAGCCCACATTGGGCATAGAGGTGAGTCCAGAGGCAGGAGTAGAGCTACAGGAAGAAGAAGAGGAGGAGGAAGAGGAAGAAGGTAACCGTGAAGAAGACTTACCTTCTAGCTATGGTGGACTGTCATCATCGCTCCTGTGGTGAGCGCTGCATCAAGAAGGCCTCTTTTTGGGGATCCTAAGATCTCCTCCGAGAGTGTGGCATCGGTGCCACAGATACCACAGATACTGGAGAGTAGTAGTTTGTACATCCCGCTCGTGCAGTGGGATGATCCGCCATAACATAGTAGTGCTTGTTTTTTTTTTTTCATTGATTCAGGTTTTGGTTATCAAAGTAATGAAGAGAGGGGAGTGGATATGAGGTTGCTGGAGTAATGGTGAGATGAAAGGGGAGCGGACAAAGAGAATATTCTTGTGCTCTTCGTGTTCTCCTCTCCTCATCTCTATCTGTCTCGTTTCACTCATACCCTTTCTAGTTCTGTTGCAATCGTGTTATTCGGCCTCACTCCACTGCACAACGTTTTACAAATTCAAAATGTTGGCTCAGTTGAATGTATCCGGACCAAATCCAGTTGAGATACGTTTCAATTGTTGTGTATTGGAGTGAGGGCCAATATCTCAATTTGAGCTTCACATCATGATTGAACGTGGATCATAGCAATACTGAGTACCAGGAGCTCCCCCCATTTCAAGAAAGAGAGAGGCCTTTGAGAGCAGCAGTACACTTCTTAACGTTTTTCCCCGGTTCTTGTGTGTGCACAAAAAGGTCCTGACCAATACCATCACATGATCACATTCTCTTGATGCTTGAGAACAGCCATCACTGTCTATTTTTATTTCTTATTTTCGTTTTTTCCCCTTTTTTCTGTTTCTTTGCCAAGCGAGGTTTTTCGCCAGGCTCGATTGCTGGGTCTCCTTTTGGTTCACACAGCCTCCGCTAAAAGGGGAAACAACCACACACTGACACACACATATGAACTGCCTGTTTCAGCTTTATCTGAAGTCTGTTCATATGCCCCATTATTGCAAATCATCCTTGAATTTGTTGTGGCAGTAGGAAGGACAGCATCAGGGTGGCTTTGAAGCATTATCTGACAAATTACTTCCGGTTCGTTTGGGAGAGGGGAGCCGAGGAGGGAGGGAGGGGGGAGGGGGGGGGAGGGGGGACAGGGGGAGAGAAGGGAGGGAACTAGTTGGTAGGGTCAGGAAACTCTCAGGAGCAGAGACTTCGATAGAGAAATACAGGCAAAAAAGTGGTTGAGAGGGGAGAGAAACAGGCACGCACCCATAGCAGTCAGGACACTTTGGTGATTGATCCCAAAAGTCGGTTGCTTTATGGTAGCATCCATGTGCAAGAAAGAGCACACCACTCGGGTTACTAGGAATCTGGAAACATGCATAGCAAGTAATCAACATAAATCAAAATAGATCATTTTCACACCTCACCTCAACCACCAAGCAATCAACATGGAACAAACAATCACTTTCGCATCTTGTATAACTCACTCATCAATCCCATTCATCTCTTCTTTCCCCACTTGTCAATACTATCCTGAAAGCCTTGCGATGTTCACGGGGTATCAAAATTTCGCAACACACACACTTGATTGGAACTTCGCACCAAAGTGAAAATGATTGATCACACTCTCAAATACTTCAAACGGAGTCAAACTTGTGAACACCTGCAAGCCCTGCCACCCTGAATACCATGCATCATGCAACTACGATAAGATGCACTATGCCAGGAGATCTGGCTGGGCATGGCCGCATCCCTCTCTCCTCTCTTCTTGTGCTGCAAAGAGCGCTGACCAGTCCAACAGCTTCCCGACCAGAGCCAGTCCATATGCACCCCGTCCAAATCGACGCAGGGCAGAACCTCCAGACAAGTGGCGGTGTGTCTCACGAACCAGTCTGTCACAGGACCCTATCCAGGTGTCATATGGCTTTCCTTTATTCTCCCCTTTTGTCACATACCCATCAACTACCACTGCATTCCACACTGGGCCTCGCTGCGCTACTCTCGACATTCACAAAAGACAAAAATCATGGGGGTGTATCTTTCCATAATCTAGCGGAAGATTCACTCTCGTTTTGCGCATTTCGGAAGTAGTGCAGCAAGGCCCACTCTTGAAAGAAATGTGAAAAAAGCCGAGCATACCCCACAGCAAGAAGAAACAATAAGCAGTACATCCTTCGGCACACGTGAGAAACGGCAGCCAGAACAAAAAGTTTAGAATGAAGAATCTGGGTAAGTGGGGGCTTGCCAATTGATGGCTGAGACATTAGCAGGGATTCTTCTCCAAACGATTGTTTTTTATTATCCCGCAATGCCGCCTTCTCTTCCCACAAAGACCGCACCTTTGAGGCTATCCATGCCATGGCGATTGATCGGGCACACGGCTCGGGAGTGCTGCCAGACAGCTGATCGCTGACGGACAAGATGCTGCAAAACCTTGGCAACCGTCTTCACCCATACGGAACGCCCGGTCATTATGGCAGTATTTGGGGAGACATTCAGTCTATATTTGGCGATAATGAACATGCCTTCTATTCTAGCGAAGACGGTAGGGGCAGCAGCAGTGGTGTCATCCAATGGACTAGATCTTGTCACACCGTGTCAGTCTCGCAAGATCTAGTCAGTCGGCAACCGGACCGCAATGTATTGGTATTTTCTGCCTAGTCTAGGGGAGAGGTGCCACCAATAACGATCCTTCATTTCTAGCTGTCGATTTTTGATATCGTCATTTCTGGCCATCAATCTTTGATATCTAACGCTAGATGTCAGTCTGCAACCGGGCAATGATGGGATTGCGTATTCTGCTTTGCTAAGGCAGACTGGTAGTTGAGACTCTACTCTCTATCCCTTCCCTCCAGGGAAGAGTTCATAGCAGTCCAGAATCTTGGTCTCAGGCCGTCAATCTTTCATATCTACCGCTAGATCATCAGTGAGTCTGCAACCGGGCAGCAATGTGCTTGCGTTTTCTTCTTTGTTCAGGCAGATTGGTAGTTGAGACTCTCCTCTCCTCTCCCCTCCATGGGAGAGGCCACCAGTCTCAATTCTTCCTTTCTGGTCGTCGATCTTTGATATCTGCGGTCCTTGATGGACAGTAGATGCTTTCGTCGCCACCTTCAATCACCCTCTTCCTCTCCCACTTCTGCGCACTGCAGTCACTGCTTCCCTTCCCCCAGCCTTTCTCTCCATCCTTCCTGTCCTTCCCATTCTGCCATTCTCAGCTTCCACCGCTTCCCAGCGATGCCAAGAAAGCCACAATCACGTCACTGACTACCACTTTGGCAGCCGCCCGGAACTGGTCTTCACCGAACTACTAAATAACCAGCCAAATGACACCCAGCGTATACACCCCTCCCTTTCCTCCTGATAGAAGGAATCCTTCCTTCCCTCTGGACAATCTCTCTCTCTCTCTCTCTCTCTCTCTCTCTCTCTCTCTCTCTCTCTCTCTCTCTCTCTCTCTCTCTCTCTCTCTCNCTCTCTCTCTCTCTCTCTCTCTCTCTCTCTCTCTCTCTCTCTCTCTCTCTCTCTCTGTGTCTCTCTCTGTCTCTCTCTCTCTCATTCATTTTTTGTCTTTTTTTTTTTCTTTCCCTCAGCTGATAACTGAATCAGTACCCATTGGTAGTAATTGTGTCGTATTTGCTGTCGGCTACATCTGGGCTTAATAATTAGTTGTGGCCTGCTTCTCGCCTTCAATACTTGTCGCCTGCATCTCCCCTTTAATATTTGCTGTCGACTACATCTCACCTTCGCCATAGGCTTTACCTGGGATGCCTAGCCATGGCCTGCGCAGTATTCAATGTATTTACATATTGAGTTAAGTACAAATTTACGCGCACGCGCGCACACAGACACCTCCCCCCCCCCCCCCCGGTGAAAAAAAAAAAACAGTGGATAGCGATGAGAGACGTCAGCAGCACTGATCGGAAAAGCAGGGCTAATGGATGATTATCGAACTGTCGCCCTTTCGATCTTCCCAACAAGCTTTTCTTGCTCTGAACGGACACACGTAGAGCAGTGACAAATCAGAAAAAGAGAGTCAGTAAATTCCCCGCTGAAACTGCTTACGATTTCTGAGAAGGTTCCCTTTTTATCTACAAGTTTCACTGCTGGCGACTGGATAGATTTCCAAGGATGCCCCTGTCAGAATGCGGTGTGGGGGCTAATGAAAAATTATGCACAGGAAGAGGCAGTGCTTTGTCTACATTGTCTGTCAGGCCGCTAGCCGCAAGCTGAAGAGGCATCCTCCTCTACTGGAATTATGGGCTGGGCAGTCAATCCCCTGGCGACAGAGCAATCAATGTCGTCTAAGCTCCTTTGATCTCACTTTCATGATTGTCTTCAACTCATATCTTATGTGTCAGGGACTCTTGACCCTGTTTCCAGCAGGTGCAGCTCCCCACCAATAGATGGAGCCTGCCCCCCCGAACCCACTTCAAGGGGATGCTCATATCACTCCTTTGACTGAGGAGACCGGGCCTTGGAGTTTGGTGAAGAGATAAGGAAAAAAAGCCCCCACCCCAGAAAATGAAACTAGTATAACAAAGAAGAAGAAGAAGAAGAATGCCCTGCCAGAATGCCGTAGAGCTCCTCACGCTTTGCTGATTGAAGGACGAGTTCCAAGATTGAAGGTTTTACAGCAGGTACTTCAGCGGGGCTTTCCTTTTTCTATTATAAGTTTAATTGGAGCTCAGATGCATTAAAAAGACACCTGTTGTATAGAGGGGGCGATGAGTGTCAACTCTAACTCTATACATAACAAGTGGACCCCGCCACGGCTACGCCGTGGTGCACAGCAACACTCGCTAATCTCTCTCTCTCTCTCTGTTACATACTTCAATGAGTATGGGCAGAACCAAAGATCAACCAATATAGGATGAGCATTTATGCAGCGGAAGTCTGATAACGAACCGACTCACATAGACTGACTCACATAGACTGACTCACATAGCATCACTCCACACACATACAATCGTGAGATGGTGGGGTCTGAGCCATACAAAGAAGGTGCTCAGCCCCGTACACAACATACACAGATGAATGGGGGAGGAGAGACGAAGGAGGTGGGGTAGGTAGACAGCACTGAAAGTCACCGAGATAGAATCTG